GAGGCACAAGATGGCTTAATTTAGTCCATGTTCTGCTAGAGGGTGAGATCTGAGGGCCAGGGATGAGTTAGATGGAGAGTAGTGATGGCTATCGGCTGTTGTGCAGCCTGACAGCTTGTTGATAGTTTGCTGAGAGTTACGAGTCACGAGAAGAATGTCTTTATTTTTCTTTCTTACTGATCGGGGTCAGTGCGTTGGAACAGACTGCAGTCAAGAAACCAAGAAGTTGCTGATTTTAAACATTTCTGAAGAAGCTGAGGCTTTCTTTCCAATGTTTGCTTGCAAATTCAACATACAAGTCAGTAACTCGGTTTGTGAGAAGTGAGGGTACACAAGTGTGGAGGGTAGAGGTACAACAATTTAAATACAGATGATCTGTGTCCCACAGGACCACTTATTAAAAGCAAACTGCTGTCACAGCCATAAAGCACTTCAAGCTAATGCACAAGCATGACTGCTGGGTCAGACCTCGGCTGTGATTTTTCATGGACACGAGTAACATTGCAAACAAGTGTGTATCGAACGGCTCTTATCGCAGGTAAAGACTGCTGAAGAGGAACAACCCTGGTGGGGAAAAAGGCGTCATGCCCCTTCTGTGCAGGAGTGATTGTTCAAACGTTAAAACTCGGGCCTCTGGTGTCAGAGCACAGCATGCTTGGTGTGGCTGGGCGGGTTGGATCAAGGACTTTTCTTTCACTCTTTACTTGTTGTTCAACTGGTCCAGGCACTCACTGTATAGATGAAATTCAAGCTGTCTGTCAACAAGCTGTTTATGAGCTGTAAAATTAGATTGTTGACAGTTTGCTCTTTTCTATCCATAGGCAGAATATGGCCACGCTCTGCCATGTTCACAAAATAATTACCTGCGACGTTTAAATGTGAAGCGATGAGGATGTTTTTTAGATTTGGGGAACTGTCCGTAAGGGGAAAGTGTGCCGCTCCCACCTCCATTGTTCTTGTGAAGCAGTTGTGTAAAAACAACTTGCTTGAACTGTTGACGTGTGAATGTGATTACATAATCAACATCGTTGCATAAATTATTTACTTGATTTGTTTCACACTTTTTTTTTTTACTTAAACAATGGTGAAACCTGGTTTGTTAGCTTGCTAGTTGGTTTAGTTGATTGTCATATGCAGATTAACACAAGGTCATCTATCCCTCACCCCCCACTCAGCTTCACCACTTCTGGACAGGAAGCAGAGAATTTTTGCAGCTCAGACTATAAACCACAACAACTGCACGCATACAGAATTTATTTATTTATTTTTCTATGCAGTTGCAGAAACTACTTTTGTTTACGGTAGCCATCCATCTATCCATCCATTTAGCTTATTCCAAAGTCCGGTTGCAGAGGCAGCAGCTTGAGCAGGGAGGTCCAGACTTCTCTTTCCACAGCCTCCTCTTCCAGCTCTTCTGGGAGGACTCCAAGGCGTTCGCCAACCGAGAGACGTAGTCTCTCTAGCATGTCCTGGGTATTCCCTGGGGTGTCCTCGACAATGGACATACCTGAAGCACCTCTGTAGGGAGGCGCCCAGGGAGCATCCTTACCAGATGCCCGAACCACCTTAACTGGCTCCTCTCGATGTGGAGGAGCAGCGGTTCTACTGTCTCTTCCAGATAAATGAACTTCTCACCTGGTCTCTGAGGGAGAGTCCAGCTACTCTGCGGAGGAAACTCATTTCATCTTCCTGTATCCACAATCTCATTTTCTGTCACTAACCAGAGCTCGTGACCATAGGTGAGGGTAGGAAGGAAACTAGGCCTGTCATAACAAATTTTGCTCTGCAATTAATTATCTTAGAAATTATTGCGATAAACGATAATATTGTTTTGAAGTTTGTCAATAATTAGTAATTATTGTAAAATTTAAAAAGAAATGTTGGTACATTTTTGTGTGTAGTACTTTTTTTTTAACCACTGGATGGCAGTATAAGACTGTTTGAACTGAAGGATGGATAGTGAGGGAGCGAGCAGCGTATCTATTTAATAAAAATTGGATGGAGGCCCCTTGACGTGACGAGGGCTGTCTCTCTTTGGTTCTCAAAATGACAGAAGCTCTGTGTGATTTGAGCTCTTTAGCATACCATTTTTCACACAAAGCTTTTAATAAAAAAAATCTAGTTTTTTTTACAAGTTCTCAGCTTCTTTTTGCAGAGAAAAACAACTTTTTACACGAAGGCACGAGTTTCAATCGTGAATTTTGGAGCTTCAACAAGACGGAGGTTTTTTTTCTCGAGGTCGGCCTGTTTTTTTTTTTCCATTTAGCCTTTATTTATCCAGGTTAGTCTCATTGAGCCACGAGAACTCATTTTCAAGAGAGACCTGTTTTAGGGAGCACATGGTGGGGTTAAGGACCTTGCTCATGGGCCCAGGGTGGGGCGAATGAGGGTGGGGGCAAGTGTGGGTGTTTCACCTACCCCACCCACAATTTTTGATGTTGTCGGGGCCGGGGCGTGAACCGGCGATCTTCGGATCACAAGCCCACCTCTCTAACCTCTGCTCCACCACTCCCCAAAGGTCGGCCTGTTAGCTTAGCTCGTAGCTTAGCTTCTCAGCTTAGCTGCTTTTAACCATCCAAAAACGTGATTTTTTGGATGGTTAAAACGGATTTTAAAGAAAAAAGGAGAGGTCAGTGAATGCACCGGAGTTGAGTCTTTTGTCATCCAGTGTCTTCAATAGAAAGAGAGACACGAAGAAACGATGAAGCCGATAAATGAAAATGAGGTCAATTAATTTTCATTTATCATGTGATTAATTGATTTGTTGTTTATCGCGACAGGCCTAGTAGGAACATAGACTGACCGGTAAACTGAGAGCTTTGCCTTACAGCTCAGCTCCCTCTTCACCACAACGGACCAGTACAGAGTCCGCAATACTGCAGATGGTGCACCAAGCTGTCTGCCAATCTAATTTTTTTTATAGTTTATTTTTATTTTTTAATTTTTATAGAAATTAAGTGCAAGAGTGTTTCCCCTAGGTTACTTGTCTTGGGAGGGCGCTTGTGTGTTCGAGGTTTTTGTCGACGGGGTGGAGAAGTGGAGCTCTAAGTTTGCATTGTGCGTTGGAGGTGGGGGTTGGTTAGCATAACGCTACTTTTTTTATGCCGAGCTTGCGTTGGTGACTAGCTACTAGCACTGGTGCCCATCTAGCGTTAGTGCCAGCAGTTGTCGGTGGGGTAGCAGAGTGCTACGTCTGTATTGTGCGTGGTTGTCGTGGTTTAGAGTCTGAGCTGAGCTGCAAAAAATCTCCGCTTCCTGTTCAAAAGTGGCAAAGCTGGGGGGGGTGGTGGAGGGATTTGGTAGGCGGGGTGCTCTGTTCTGTTGACGGGACGGGGCACCTCCTTGAATAATGTTTAGGTAAACTGGAAGTATTTAACACATCATGGAATTTGTTTAATGCGAGTCTTGGGTGCCGTCTTAAATGCTGTGGACAGTTTTACTCCTCAGTGTCTCGTTCTTGGACGAACATTTCTTGGTAGAGTTTTGACTTTAGAGCGTACTCTGCTGGACAGGAAGACGTGCAGTGTGTTTACACATTGTACGTTTTAAACCATCCATCCATCCATTATCTTTACCCGCTTCTTCCATTTTGGGTCACGGGGGTCGCTGGTGCCCATGTCCAGCAATCACTGTGCGAGGGGCGGGGTACACCCTGGACGGGTCGCAAGTCCATCACAGGGACACATAGAGACAAACGAGACAAACAACCATTCACTCTCTCACTCACACCTAGAGGCAATTTAGAGTTACCAATCAGCCTAACATGCATGTTTTTGGTCTGTGGGAGGAAACCGGAGCACCCGGAGAAAACCCACGCATGCACGGAGAGAACATGCAAACCCCACCCAGAAAGGACCCTGGACCGGGGTTTGAACCAAGGACCTGCTCGCTGAGAGGCAGCAGCTCTACCAGTTGCGCCACCGTGCTGCCACGTTTTAAACAATTCTTTATGAATATTTAACTACATTAAGCTTTTCACTTCCCCAGAAATTCACATATTTTCACTGTTTCAGAAGTGTTTGTGCTAGAAACTGGTTCTGAACGTTGTCTGCCACTTCAATTAGAACCTTCTGTCACTTGTTGATTAGCTGTGATTACAATCTAATAACATGTTTACACATGTACAAAATCTACTTGTAAGGCTTTATTAAGACGAGATAAATCAGAATTAAGAAACCTTCTGTTTCAGACTTGAAGATGCAAAAAAAAAAGAATTGTTTGCATGTTATTGCATGTAAAACAATGATTTTTGTTTCTAATTCTCCTTTTTTTAATCTCTAAATTACTTTTTTGAGCAAAGAAGTGTAGTTATAGACTGCATATCATTTTTGACAAGGCTAATTTAAATACAGGAAAATCCTGGATCAACATCAGAAGTTTACTTTTTATTTGGGTTATGCAGCATCATTCTCAAATTCATCACAACGGATTGATCCCATAAATCAGTTTGACACATCAAAGGCTCTACGTGATTTTGTTGAGAAGGAAAAACACTAAACGGGAAGTTCAAAAGGTACTTTTGTTTCCTGGAGTTTAGTAATTTCTTGCCAGCGTCCTTCCTGCTGCTGAACAGACTCTAAACCTGAACAACAATCACAACAAACAAGCGCTCCTGTGACGGTTTTGCACCATCACCTCTGCTGAGAAAGTAAAAGTTTTCTGATTGGGTGCATTCTCCTCCTCTGTAACCACAGGTGTTAGAGCAGCAGGAAATTTTAACGTTTGCTGATTTATGTCTAAGGAATTTGCAGCACTGAGTCATAAAGGTGACGCAGAGCCTTGTTTAATGTCTTGCCTTGGCTTGAACCAACCTAACATGAGCAGACACTGTCAGTCAAGCTTCACATCCGTGACTTCATTCTTGGGATTGCACGAGAATAGGAAATAATTTTTGCCAGAGGCTGACGACCGTTGACAATGCATTGAGCAAAATGTAAACAAGGGTTACGTAAAGCAAACATGTGTTGCTATAAACATTGCTTCTTCTCTTTCTGTAACAGCCACCATGTCGGATGCAGACAGGTTTCTCTATGTGGACCGTAATCTGGTCAACAACCCACTGGCCCAGGCCGACTGGGCCACCAAGAAGCTGATATGGGTGCCCTCGGAGCGCTTTGGCTTCGAGGCGGGCTCCCTGAAGGAGGAGCACGGCGACGAGTGCGTGGTGGAGCTGATAGACTCGAGTAAGAAGATCAAGGTGAACAAGGATGACATCCAGAAGATGAACCCTCCCAAGTTCAGCAAGGTGGAGGACATGGCCGAGCTCACCTGCCTGAATGAGGCGTCTGTTCTGCACAACCTGAAGGAGAGATACTACTCTGGGCTCATTTATGTGAGTACGAAGCCAAAAACAATGCTATGTATTATTTGTCGTTTGCAGATTTATGTCCGAGCAATGATTTTATGGTTAATTTTAAGTTTCTGTTGCAACATTTCCATCCTCCTTGGCTGAGCTCCAACCTAATTATCTACTTTATTAAGTCTTGTTGCTTAAGATGGCCCATTGTGTGCATGCAGGCAATAGGCAGAAAATGTGGAATCCGTTAACATGCTCAAGATATTCAATTGTTATTTCTTCACCCTACATGACTCGGCTTCAGTGCTGTCTTGTTTGGGATTACATTGTATAAACAGGAAGCTGAAGGGAACAATGCAATCCAGAGTGTGAGATTTGTAGAAATGGGAGAGGACGGCGGCAAGGCACTAATCCAAAATGGGCATGGAATGTAAACCATGCTGTAACTGTCATTACTGCCCCTATAATTGTTATTTTCTCCCTTCTTCTGGTCTGGGAGTAATTTGGTCTCTTGACTCTTTAGTAGTGACCCGGTCATATCAACAAAAGTTGTCGTCCCCCCCCCTCATTCTCCAGAGATTCATGCAGTAGATGGCTTAAGTAGCTCAAAGCTCTCTTGCTTTAAAATGGAGCATCTCTCATGGGAATGGTGGTTTACTACAGGGGGAGATGTTGGTCAAACTGCATAAACTATACGATGGATTGCACTTTAATTGGTTTTAATGTTGGCTCTGAGACGCAAACATGGTTGATTTGTCCGTTGTTTTTTTGTCAATACTAGAATCACTTATCAGTTTAAACTTGCAGCAGGGTGGGGCTGAGATTACAAAACAAAGATACAAATAAAATCAGAGTTCATGAGAGTTTTCAGCTCTGAGCCGATCGAGGACGGGAACATCTTATTACTGGATCAACGCCCGTGTTGTTTGACAAGGACATTTAACGGGACTTGTCCCAGTTCAAAAGTAAGGGTTGGGATTTAGGGTATTCAAAGTATGTTCAACTCGGTTACAACACGAGTCGAGTTTTCTTGTGTTCATTGGCTTTTCAGTTACTTTTGGCTCCAATCCCACAACAGGACTGGCTGATTAGGTCCAGATTATTCAGGCCATTTTGAAAACACATGCAGGAATATTTTTCTTATGGTTTTTATTTTGGTACAGCTTTGTGAAATACATTAACGTTTACATCTAACTGTATTAAATGCAAATGAGAGCTTTTCTATTTTACTAATAGTGTTTCTCTCTTGGCTTGTGGTAGATTTTATCTGCATATGTGTGAGAATTAGTATTTAAAACAAGATTATAAAATAATGAACTTTTCCAAGGAGCTTATTTCCTCTTGAGTATTAACCCTTTTAAGTGTCCACGTTTTATCCTGTTTTTTTTATACCGTTTGTTAGATATTTGGCATTTGGCACATTGCAGGGAATGTTTCTAATTTCCTCTGTTTGTCCTGCAGACATACTCTGGGCTCTTCTGTGTCGTCATAAACCCCTACAAGAACCTACCCATCTACTCGGAGGAGATCGTTGAGATGTACAAGGGCAAGAAAAGACATGAAATGCCACCTCACATCTACGCCATCACAGACACGTCTTACAGAAGCATGATGCAGGGTGAGTCGTCATGTCTGCTGTTCGTCCTTCTAGTTTTATCATATTTATTTAACGGAACTGGTGAAATGAATCCTTTGGTGGGCGACGGGTGCCGTCACAGCTGTAGAAGTTTTGAAGTTGATCTTTTAGGTTTAAAAATGAATAGGAAAAAATAAAATCAAAGTATGAAGCAGTATTAATGTTTCCAGACTTGTCACCCATTGCTAGAAAATAAACATTGAAATTCGTAAATATTTCAGACTGTTCATTTTGTATATAAAAATATGAACGTAGTTTTTTTTTCAATTTCTGGAAGTTGGCAATTCCAGTAGTACCATAATTGCAGAACGATTGAGCGCACACAAATATAAGCCATGCCCACTAAATAAAAAATAATCATTTTGTACATGTATAGGCTGCGCTCGTCTATAAGCCGCTGCTTAGAGCTGTTATTTCTAACTGGAGCCCTAAGCCCGGCCCGAATTCGGGGTGGGCCGGGTTATGATGATGTGCTGGATGGGCGGGTCGGTGTCGGGCTTTTAATTGGGTCAGGATCAGCTGCGATCCAATTATATGATACATTTTTTTTCATTTAGCCTTTATTTATACAGGTTAGTCTCATTGAGCCACGAGAACTCATTTTCAAGAGAGACCTGTTTAGGGAGCACATGGTGGGGGTTAAGGGTCTTGCTCGTGGGCCCAGAGTGGGGCGAATGAGGGTGGGGGCAAGTGTGGGTGTTTCACCTACCCCACCCACAATTTTGATGTTGTCGGGGCCGGGGCGTGAACCTGACATGGCCTGCCATACTTTCACCAGCTGCACGCGGGCATTTCACCGCGAGCTGACCGGCCTTGAAACAGGTAAAAAGTTCAGTTAAGCTTCAGATGGGACTGTACTTCCAGGCAGCGGTCCATCAAAGCCCAGATGGACGTTCATTCAGCCGCTGCACTCAGCGGACACGCGCGGCCGAAGACCCAAACAAGTCTGATCCCAAAGCAGACGAGTCAGAGCAGGGTCCGTGAATAAATCAGAACGCAGGCAGAAACTGGGTTTAAATGCTCTTTGACAACCATGAAATGACAGACACCCCTCAGCTCAGAATCTTCTGCCCCTTTTATTCAGCCGCACATCCCCGACCGTTAATAAATAATTAAAAATGTCGGGTCGGGTGGGGTTTGGAAATTATGACTGCGTGCTGGGGTCGGATTGGATTTTTTTGGGGCCCGAATGCAACTCTAATCCCAGGTGTCCACGTTGTAACGAGATATTAACAGATTTTTTAACTTTTAATTAAATGCGTACCAGTAACATCCACAAATACGTGCAGTAAATGTTTTTTTTTTTTTTTCCTGAAAAGTGCCTGTAACACGGCTGGTAAAAATAAATAAATAAAAAATAAATACAGTGGCCTACCAGGAAGTTATCGATTGCTATCGTCACCTTCCTCCTGCACGAGCTTGTGTTGTCCTCCATCAAGGTTCAAGTATCTTTATAGTCATTTGCATCCCGAGGTACATGAGGTGGAACGAAACTGTACCCAAGGTCCCAGTTACACCCAAAAATAGCAAATATATAAAGTATAAAAAGAAACTGTATACCATACCATTTTATTTATAAGGCACTTTAAACAGCGATGGGGCCAACCAAAGTGCTGTACAAACAGAAACAAACAGGCAAAGCACACAGCAACACATAACAGAACGTAAAATCAAAATATAGAAACAAAATAATGGCAGATAATAACATAATGACCAACACAGTGTGATGCATACAGGATCAACACAAATCACACAGTGTTGAAAGCCAGGGATACCAGGATATAAGATACACACTAAACACCAATAATGTAAAATAATACGGTGTATTAAACAGCAGCCTGAACATGAGTCTGTTGTGAGCAGCTGGGCATGAGTACAGCAGCGTAAAGGCAAGAGATCAGCAGCATGGATAAAGTGACATATCACCAATTAAAGTGGCATTACAGTGATTTTCCTGGTTAGGGACACTTTGTACTATTTTCAAGGTCCTTAATTCAGATGTGATTTTAACTGCGAGGCCGACCAGCAGACTGAGACCAAAGTGACAAAAAGACATTTGATTTTTGTTTTGGGGTGATGTCATGATTTGACCAAATTAAAATAGTCTAAAAAAAAAAAAAAAGTGACCAGGGGTGCACTGATTGCAGTTTTCTGACCGATCACAGATTTCTAAAATGTCTGACCTGCCGATACCGATTTAGTTTTATAAGCGACACAGTCACGTGTTATAAGTTCACAATGCACCTTCAGTTTTCCAACATTATTTTATTGAAAAACAGACCCTTGAACAATATCCTAGAAACAATATAAACTCGTTTAACTGGTCATGAGGTCGTGCTCTGATAGACAATTGTTGTTGAAACTAAAATAAATCTGTAAAATCGGTTTCTCATGCAAGTTTCGGCCGATTTCCGATTTCCCAAAATTAAGAAAATTGGGCCCCACCCCTAATAGTGACGACTAAATTTTGGGTTTTAAATTTAGACAATGTAGAATTGATGTCACCAAAGCCCATGTCCATGTAGAGTTGATGTCCATTATGAACTGGAAAATGATGAAGGTATTTCGATGCTTTGATTGCAGCCGTAAACCGTTCTGAGCTCATGGTTTTCCTGCTTGTTGCTGAAACGACTCCGTTTAGATTTTAAATTTTCTGCGATTGCGGCGAGCAGAAATCCTACCTAAATGAGCTGCTGCAGATTTCCTGTTCTCCATGTTTTTTCCCGGCTTTTACCTCGATGCGTAATTACACACTGAGGCCACGGCGGGAGTTTCCTGTAAAGCTATTGTCGAAGTGTTTCTTAAATCCTCCTCCTGTATGTATTTTGTTGGTTTAGGATGTGCTCCTCACCACGCCCCCCCTCCACGTTTGTCCGCTTTTCCTTTAATCTACTCCTCTATCGCACAATCCCCGCGCCGTCCCACCGATGCTCCTTTAGTGCATGTTGTGCTCCAGAGCACATTTTAGGAGGCGATGGAGTAATTAGGCTGTTAAAACGCAGACAAACGTTCAGTCACAGGAAGCCGGATATTGATATCCTGTCTGTGGTCCGTGTATTTCCTGTTGTAAAGGCGTAAACTGTGCACTGTGGCGATAACACTCGTCTAGAAAATGTTGCAAAGCTGCTGCAGAACTTAACATTTTACACATTTTTTTTTGTTCTAGATCGAGAAGACCAATCTATTCTTTGCACGTGAGTTACAAACATGCACACGATGGCAGTCCCTCTAGTAGTGTCAATATTTTGATCCCCTCCTGAATTTTTAGATGTATTAGGTTACTCTTGTCTCAAAATCTCTCATTTACATTCTTTTCTTTCTTTTGGATCTGCCTGCATTTTTGCCTGCATGTGTTGTGTAGGGGCGAGTCTGGAGCTGGTAAGACGGAGAATACCAAAAAGGTTATCCAGTACCTCGCTCATGTGGCTTCCTCTCATAAGACCAAGAAAGATCAGGTTAGTATTCATAAACACGACGGTTCAAACTTCAGACCCGGTCTTTTAACTTCAGCTGATGTTTCAGTTTATATGCACACACTGAATGAGTGGTGTCAAACTGTCAGTGCATTGTTCAAATGGTTTATTTTCTCTAGTGAGAACGCAGTAAACATCTTTCCAAATTAAGTTACATTAAAGGAAACTGTGGAGATAACAACCCTGTATGCACAGACAGTTGTGAGCAGTTTTAAGTGCTGCTGGCACACCGACCTGAACCAAAAAAATTAAAAGCATTTCAGAATAAAGTTCATCTCATCAGCCATCTAAAGTTAAAGCAGCCTTGCCTTGTGTTAGACGGAGAAGAAAAACGTGTTGTTTTGACTGTCAGCCGTATGATGGATGCTGCTCAGAGGAACCCAGCGGGTTTTTCTTTTTAAATTTCATTAAAACCATCATCCATTTTTGAGGCTTTTGTATTTCTCTTTTCCCATCAACAGAGCAGTTTCATCCTGTCACATGTGAGTTAACTCTCCCCCTTCATTTGCTCGTCCTCCTGCTTCTGTCGTCATCTTTCTCTTTTAAATCCCACCCTCCTCCTCCTCCTCCTCTTTCCCCTCGCTGAAGCGCGCGCTGCTCTGGGAGCCACTGGTTGAGGGCAGAGGGGACATGTCTTGCCAGCCATAAGGAAGCGGGGAGGAAGTTTGTTGGCAGCCGTATGTGCTCCTGTGAAAAATTCAACCAGACAATGGAAGAACAAACGGGAGGGGTCTCTAATGGGAGGGAGGGAAGTCTCCATCAATCCTTGTCTTTTTCTTTTGTCTGGTTTAATTTTTCATGACCTGTATTTCTACTTTATGCGAGTCAATGCTGCTTTTCTGTTTTTGTTTGAGCGGTGTGTCCTCATGTTTTTGAATTCTTGAAGACTCCAGCTACGTTGGTCTGAAATATTCAATATTTACATTTAGCACGAGACACAAGTGCAGAGATGTGTGAAACTCAGGTTAAGTCAGTAGGAAGGGAAGTTATTAACTGGAATTAGTTTTTTTTTGTTTATGTGGGGGTTTTGTCACCGGATCTTTCCACTCGGAGTAACAGGTGATGGGTTGTTGTCGGTCTGGTCTGGGTGTTTGCTCATGTGGGCACTAATCTGATACGGTTTGTGTTGGGTTATATGCTTGGGTGTGATGTGCATCGTTGCTGTGTCTGTGCGTTATCGCTCCGTTTGTTTAAATGTCTGTTCATAATGTTCTTTTTCCTCAGGTGTAAAAATGTAATGGGTAAATCAAGAAGTAGAAAAAATATCAATCCAAGTGAATTTAATTAATCTAATTTGTGTTGCTGGAGTATAATTTTATGTGGTTTGTAGGATTGTCTATTTAGTGAATGTGTTTAGATTTTTGTTTAAACTGGGGAAATGCTCGTTTTCATCAGGGGGAGCTGGAGAAGCAGCTGCTGCAGGCTAACCCCATCCTGGAAGCTTTTGGAAATGCCAAGACGGTCAAAAATGACAACTCCTCAAGATTTGTATGATAATCCCCTCTTTGTTTTTTTTAAATTCAGTTTTATTTAAAAAAAAATGTCTTAAAATGTTTTTTTTCCCACTTTCTAGGGAAAATTCATCAGGATTAACTTTGATGTCAATGGTTACATTGTTGGTGCCAACATTGAGACGTGTATCCTTACTTTGACTCTTGTTCTGCTTTTTTTTTTTAATTTAGTTAAAACTGTGTTTTGTAAAACACCTTTCCTACATAAAGTGTAACACAAAGTGTGCTGTACATTACATAAAACAAAACAAAAAAGAAAAGCAACAAACAAGCAAACGGAAACAAAAACTTAGATCAGGGGTCTGCAACCTGCGGCTCTGGAGCCACATGCGGCTCTTTGGTCCCTCTGCAGCGGCTCTTTCAAGCTTTGACCAAAACTAACATAAAACTGAATTTTATTGGTTGTAATGCAAACAACAACAACAAAAGACTAGTTTTAGCAGTTTTCCTGTCATTTACTTTGCAAATATCTGAATGCTGGAACTAGTACAAGGATTAAAACATACTAACTTTATGATTTTTTTTTTCTCTACTAAATTATTTTTTCCACATTTAAAAAAAATCACATAGGTCTGCGTAGTTATTTATTTTTATTTTTTTTACCATTTCTCCTCCTCTTTACAAGAATCTGGTCTTTTCATTTGTCTTACCGGTAAATTAAATGATGTTAAAAGCTGAGAATACGTAATGATTTTTAACATTTATTGATATATTTACTGGGAATAAAAGCCATCTCCAACAAGCCTGAAGTGGCCCATGAGCCACCAGTTGATAATCACAGTTAGTGGGTTGTTGCGGCTCTGAACACTTTTACTTTAGTGAACGAAGGTGTAAAAATGGCTCTTTTGATCGTAAAGGTTGCAGACCCCTGACATAGATCATTAAATAAAAAGAATAAGTTGTACAAAGAAAAATCTTAATCTTAGCTCTTAACATGTGAGGACTGAGGGAACAGAGGAAATGTGTTTAAAAATATAAAAATAACAACACAAGTTCTAAAATTTACAGATTAATGAAACCAAAACTAAAACCAAGTTATTATTTTTGCTTAAAGAAAAGTATTATGATTAAAACAGAGTAAAATAATATATTCTAAAGGTTGTAAATAAGTAGTTTAATATAAAGCCAGATTCAACAGCCAAATCTAGAGTTTACTTTAAAAGCATCAACACTCTGAGCTGGTCTTAGGTTCTTAAAAAGGCTGTTCTACAAGTGAAGACCTTATTTAAAAAAATAATGCCTTTATGTGGACTTTTCTTTTAACCAAATATAATAAAAAAATAGGGCCTTTTCGAGAGGAGCCGAGGGGTGAGCGAAAGTACTCATAAGGTACAAGCAAACCTACTAAACTAAATATGACCAAAACTATAAACGGCCAAAAAAAAAGAAAAGTCTTAGTTTAAGTGTAATGTAATCAGTCTTGTTTTTAATCAACATTTGTGCAGCTGAGATAAACACAGAGTTGTATTCTATCGTACAGAAATAACCCCAAGGTTTATAATTTGTTCTGATGGGTTTGAGCCAGAGTTCTGTTTTATTTAATTTTTTTCTATTTAGGTACCAGTTACTGAAACTTCTGTTTAGTCACGATTGAGCTGGAGAAATTTTTCAGCCATCCATAACTTTGCAGTTTAAAAGGAGCATGGATCGTCTGTAGGTCGTCTGAAGACTCATCAATATAAAGCTGTGTGTCGTCAGCATAACTGTAAGCTTGGTCTCCCGATGAGGTTTCCTGGTGTCAGCGTTCATAAATTAAAAAGCGCTGAGCCTAAAATTTTTGTTTGTGCAACTTCGTACTTAAGTGTGTGGTGTTTAAATAGTTATGATTATTAAAAAATAATTGTAAGGTATGAATTAAACCACTTAGTGCAGTTCCAGAAATGCCAAGTGTCTGTTGGCAAAAATGTTGTGGTTGAAATGTTGGGTCTAATAACAGATCAGATCCACGTTCTCTGAGATCATTTAAAATCATGATTGATGCTATCTCTGTACTATCATTGGATCTAAAACCAGACTGGTATTATTTTTCATACATGTTATGAATATGTATAAAATAAATAATAATAAAAATCAATAAAAACAATCTTTAAAACTTCATTTAAAAATATCAAGTTTGATTTGAAATCGATCTGAGGTGTGGAGGAATCTCTTCTGGTGGAGTTTAATGGTGGCAATAATAGAGTTCAGGAGTTAAACCGTATCTCATTAAAACCCGATCTGTTCAGAGCAGGGATTATTTTTGTTCTGGAACCTTTCCTTGACAGATTGACTTCTAGACCTGTTGGAGAAATCCCGTGCCATTCGCCAGGCCAAAGAGGAGAGGACGTTCCATATTTTCTACTACTTGCTCACAGGAGCAGGAGAGAGATTGCGAAGTGAGTGCCTTGTTAAATATTTTTCAAGGGTCATTGATGTGCATGTACTTGGCAAATAGTTTAACTTCTCGTTGACATTTATCACAGAGGATCTCCTCCTTGAAAATTACAACAACTACCGATTCCTTTCCAATGGAAATGTCACGATCCCGGGGCAGCAGGACAAGGATCTGTTCACAGAGACCATGGAAGCCTTTAAGATCATGAGTATTCCAGAGGACGAGCAAATTGGTAAGGAAACTGATATCCTGGTTTATTTTTCAGTGGGACTTTGCCCGTGTGATAATTTTCTGTTTGTGCAGGCTTGTTGAAGGTGGTGGCTTCAGTTCTGCAGCTTGGAAACATGAGCTTCAAGAAGGAGCGCCACACAGACCAGGCTTCCATGCCTGACAACACGGGTACGTTAGACCAGATACCAGTGGTGGGTACCACTAACTAAAAAGTAAGCTAAAATAAATTGGCGGAAGCTAATGCTAAATTGCTAACCGCTAAGATGACTTTACTCAGTCTGCGTCACACGACCTTCAGTTGAAACTGCGTCGACCAATCACGTCACGCGTACACGTTGTAAGCTATAGCATACCTAATGGACACTTCGAGACACTCCCACAACAGGCAGGAACAAGATTGTGAATTTTGTTTGCGGATTTAAAGTTGGCGAAACCTAATTTACTTGAATTTAATTTAGCTAGTGAAAAGAAACTAAAATTAGTTTAGCTGTTAGGTGTTAGCGGACCTGTGCCCACCACTGCCAGATAACCTCTCCACACTCATTTTTACTGTTTGTCAGATTTAACATCTGATTATTATTATTTTTTTTCTCAACAGCTGCTCAGAAGGTTTGTCATCTGATGGGCATGAACGTCACAGACTTCACCCGGGCCATCCTGTCACCCAGAATCAAAGTGGGCCGAGACTTCGTCCAGAAGGCTCAGACTCAAGAACAGGCAGAGTTTGCAGTGGAAGCTCTGGCCAAGGCCACATATGAAAGGATGTTCCGCTGGCTTGTCATGAGAATCAACAAAGCTCTCGACAAGACCAAGAGACAGGGAGCGTCCTTCATTGGCATCTTGGACATTGCTGGCTTTGAGATCTTTGAGGTAAGTCCAGTGAACCTTTAAAAAGACTTCACCATCGAGTCGTGTAGTGCAAACCCACAGATATGTTGATTATCTTGTTTTTCTTTTGTTTCTTCAGCTGAACTCATTCGAGCAGCTGTGCATCAACTACACCAACGAGAAGCTGCAGCAGCTCTTCAACCACACCATGTTCATCCTGGAGCAGGAGGAGTACCAGAGGGAGGGCATCGAGTGGAGCTTCATCGACTTCGGCCTCGACCTGCAGCCCTGCATCGACCTCATCGAGAAGCCTGTGAGTTTCTTCCCTTCATCTTTCTGTATTTGCAGCTTTCATGTTGCTGTTTAGTGCACATGTTTATTTGGCACCATTGTCTGCTTCCTCTCATGCACTCTTGTGTCTTAAGGCCAGTCCTCCTGGAATCCTCGCTCTGCTGGATGAGGAGTGCTGGTTCCCCAAGGCTACAGACAAGAGCTTTGTGGAAAAGGTGCTCCAGGAGCAGGGCACACACCCCAAGTTCTTCAAGCCCAAGAAACTGAAGGACGAAGCAGATTTCTGTATTATTCATTATGCTGGCAAGGTACATTTATTCATACGGTCTGTCCTGCGGCTAACTTTTGGAACGGCTCTCCTACATAACGAATCTTAAACACATCTTGACCATTTCTGCCTAATGTTTCTTCTCAGGTGGACTACAAAGCGGATGAGTGGTTGATGAAGAACATGGACCCGCTGAACGACAACGTGGCCACACTCCTCAACCAGTCCACTGACAAGTTTGTTTCTGAGCTCTGGAAGGACGGTGAGTCAAAGCAGCTGTTTGAGCCAGAGCAGCTTCATCATTTCATGGTGTGGGAACAGATCTGGTGTTCTCTTGTTCATAGAGCTTTCTCTCTCTCTTACTGTCTGCTGTGTGGGCCTTTGTGTTTATCTTTTGTCAAATCCCACTGGTCATTTGTCTTATTTCTTCCTCTGTATGGCCCCATTTTGTTTGTCCTTTTTTATTGGCTGTCAGAAGTAAAGAATTGTCAGAGAGCATATTTTTATCAGCGTTTTCCTATTCTACACTCAGATCCAGGTGAAAGGATTCTTAATATATCTTTTTCCTGCCGTTTGTTTTTCACCTGAAAACCTCTTGACATTCCTAATGTCTTTATCCTTTTCTGATAGTTATTTTAAGTCTAATTTTATTATCAGTTTCTGTCTCTGTACAAACATCTCTGAATGCAGTAAGAATCTTCCGGTGTTCCTGTTGCTCCTTCATTGGCCTCTTCTTTTCTCCCTCTGTGTAATAGTGTTGTTTGGGGACTCCTGGTGTTGGTCATGGGTACTGCAGCAGTGCACCAATGGGTATAAACTGCATGGGTTTGGTTTTTGTCACTGCAAACATACCTGTTCCACCACAATCACTAAAGAATGCCAACTTCCTGGTGCGCACACATCTAAAGCAATCATAGTTTTCACCCAGAACAACAAACTGGAGCTGATGGATATGTTCGTCTCTGCATTTATTACCGTATATATTGAGCTCTTTATTATTTTATTTTGTCATGCTGTGTTATCCTTCCACATTTCACTTGCTTCTTGTGATTGCGCTCCATCGTCCTTGCCCCACACTTTTCCTCCAACATGTACTGGTTGTGTGTGGCGTTGCACTGGTTCCGTGCACCACCTCCTGGCCTGCCGTGTGTGTTTTTCAGGAGGTGCTGTGACGGTAGTTATCGTGACGAGCATTTGGTTTGAACTTGTCCAAATAAATACTCGGTCGGATAAGAAATGTGACCGGATGTATCTTTTCTTACAGTTTTCTCTTTCTCTTTCAGTTGACAGCATTGTGGGGCTGGATAAGGTGTCCGGCATGTCCGAGATGCCCGGTGCCTTCAGGACCCGGAAAGGGATGTTCCGCACCGTGGGCCAGCTGTACAAGGAGCAGCTGTCCAAACTCATGGCCACGCTGAGGAACACAAACCCCAACTTTGTCCGCTGCATCATCCCCAACCACGAGAAAAAGGTATCGGGTGTCTTTAAGCCTTTGAAAATTTTAGGAATTTAACAGAATTGCGTTCTTCTTAAAAAACATTGGGTAGCTGAAGCGAGTAAGGTTGCTGTGAAGTTTCTACCTAAAGTCAAAAACTTGGATGGAGTGCATGTGCAAAACAAGTGAGCGGCATTAGTATACTGAAGAGGGGCGAAATTAAAGCACTTTAGAGCAAAGTTAATGGGATATGTCAACTTCTTTGAAAGTAAGGTTTAGTTAAAAGGTATAATTCAATTAAATTCAAATCAGTTTATCAAGCGCCAATTCACAAGAGAAGTTGTCTCAGGGCACTGAACAGAAACATTCACTTGCATAAGAATCGGTTAATAACAATATTTCTCTAAGGAGCCAGCAGATTGCTTCAAGTTTACACTTCGTCGCAGACTCTCGTCCTAAGCGAGCACAGATGCAACAGTGCAAAGGCAAAACTCCCTCATGAGGAAGAAACCTCCAGCAGAACCAGGCTCAGGACAAGCGGCCATCTGCTTCGACGGGCTAGGTTTGAGAGGAACAGATACACAATGGCAGGTCCAGGATGGAGGCCATCATGTTTTTCTCTAGGAGGAAAGACAAAAAGACAGAAATCACATGAAATAATAATTACAAACACAAACTATTCATTTGCAACAATTCATTTTAAGAAATAGTCAATTTGTCCTCCAGTAGTCTAAGCCTATAGCAGCATAACAAGCTGCCCCTAACAATAGGATTTATCAAAAAGGAAATTCTTAAGTCCAGTCTTAAAACTGGACAATGTGTCAGCCTCATGGACAGAAACAGGAAGTTGGTTCCACAAGAGAGGAGCCTGATAACTGAAAGATCTTCCTCCCATTCTGCTTTTGGAAACTCTAGGAACCACAAGTAAACCTGCAGTCTTAGATCAAAGTGCTTTGTTAGGAAAATATGGAACAATAAGATCTGTAATATAAGATGGAGCTAGGTTGTTGAGAGCTTTGTAGGTTAGAAGATGAATCCATTCATTCAACCTTTATTTCTGTAGGTTAGTCTCATTGAGCCTCGAGGACTCATTTACAAGAGAGACCGGATTTTAACTGATAACGGTAGACAAATCTTTTTTTTTTTTAAATATAAATTGAAAAGAACAACTGAAAGAAAATTATATTAAAAAAATGAAACAAAAACAGCTAGTTTGTAAATCGATGTAGAATACTGTAGAATATTTTACCTGTTGTAGATGGTGCCTTTTTATTTTGATCTAAATGCAGCTAAACCTAAAGTGAGTTCCTGGCTGCCGTCAGAAAACTACGGAGACGTGTCTGAGTACAGCTTGTACAAACAGTTTTTGGGTGGGTGGGGGGGATCAGTTCTGTTGACGGGTGGGGCACCCCCCTTGTATAATGATAGGAGAAACGCTGATATATTTCTGGAGGGAAATTTAAAGAAAATTGAATTGCCCATTATTAGCTCATCGGTACTGTACAAGCAGATCCATATCCAAAGTTTATCACCGCCATCTTTAAAAAGTATTTGCACATGCACTCGGTAAAACTTTTACATCTTCATTAATTTGTTTAATCTCATGTTTGTTTTGCCATAAATTTTGTGAAATTGTTTTCAAAATGGATCCAGGCTACACCAGACGTGTTGCACTTTACAACTGACGCCAATATTTGTACTTTATAAGAGTCAGAGTTTCATGTAAATACCCACATTATACAAAGTTGACAGCAGTATAAACTTTATGAAATTAGCTTTAAAGTTTTGGAGATTGAAATATTCAGTTGGCAACAATTCAATTTGATCTGCGCTGCGTTGCTCCTGTGGGATGTAAACAGTTTCTTCAAACTGAGTTTTGTTTTTTTAAGATCTATCTACAACAGGAACGATAGTGTTTATAATCTCTTCACAGAACCAACTTCAAAATGAACGAAGTATCCCTTTAAAACTGAAAATATTAAATCAATATAAAAAGTGTGCATTTATGGTACACATGTTTTGTAAAACGGTTTGTAAAACATAATGTAATTTCATGTTCAACTATTTTCAGCCAGGTCATAAAGAAACTGTCCAGATGACTTGACTGAAAATAGTTGGATTGTATACCTGGATTATTGAGCATGGACTTTTTTGGTAATTTCATGTTGTTTCTAGGCTGGTAAACTGGACCCCCACCTGGTTCTGGACCAGCTGAGATGTAACGGTGTTCTGGAGGGGATCCGAATCTGCAGACAGGGATTTCCCAACCGCATCGTCTTCCAGGAGTTCAGACAGAGGTGATGATGATGATGATGATGATTATGTTTTTTTTTTTTTCTTGGAAAAAGATTAACAAAAATGACTCCCATCGTTTCTCAGATATGAAATCCTGACTCCCAACTCCATCCCCAAAGGTTTCATGGATGGAAAGCAAGCCTGTGTGCTCATGGTGAGCATGTTCTCGAACTCTGGTTTGGTTTTTTAATAACTTCCTGCCTCCTCTTCAGGCTCACTGAGCATCTATTTGCTTTCCTTCAGATCAAAGCCCTGGAGCTGGATACCAACCTGTACCGCATCGGTCAGAGCAAAGTTTTCTTCAGAGCAGGAGTCCTGGCTCACCTGGAGGAGGAGAGAGACATGAAGATCACAGACATCATCATCAGCTTCCAGGCGTGGTGCAGAGGCTACGTGGCTCGCAAGTAAGAAGAGCTGACGTGGCTCTGCAAACTTTTTCTGTAGCTCCTGACTGAGTCATTCATGTGTACCGTATTTTTTGCCCTATAAGTTGCGTTTTTTTGCATAATTTGCATGCCCTGCGACTTACTGGCCCAAGCTACATATTTATGGATTTTTTTATAAACCAGTTATTGGCTGAGATATGACCGTTTTCATTAATTCTGACTGAAAATATTGAACACTACCATTTTCAGCCGCTAGATGGCACTCGAGTATGGCATGCTGTTGTATCATGTAATAGATAAAAGTGGCTATTAATGACACAGTTGGCTTGCCATAGACTGCAACCTTCATTCTGCTCGATAGGAGCAACCAAATCAGCTTCATTTCACTGCGCCGCCCCAGTGAAATGCAGCTGATTTGACCATTGAAGTGCATTTATTAAGTAAAAGTTCAACTGAGACACACCTTTACTATAAAGTCGAGCAAACAAATAATAGTTTTAGGTGGATATCTTTTTCAATTTCAAATAAATGCACAGCGACTCGTCCCTCTGCTTATTTGTACTTCCGCGTATCGGCTTTTGAAACACAGATGATTTGACCATAAAAGTGCATTTATTAAGCAAAAGTTAGACTGAGGCACACCTTCGAGCAAACAAATAATTGATTTTAAATGTTATTCTTGTTAAATTCTTGTTGAAATCCTCCCGTGCACGCTCCTGTGGCCATCATTTGTCAGCCAATTGATTTTTGGCACAACACCGGCCCACATTTCCGGGTTGTCAGCGGTGGCGCATAATGGATGCAATGTATACGGTGAAGCGACGTATTTGTTTAGACATATTTGGACTGATACGACTTATAGGGCGGTGTGACGTGTACAGCGGAAAATACGGTAATCTGATAGAAAACGCTGAAAGAAATGTCTCGGTGCATGATAATAGAAAGTTTTATTTTACAGGGCGTTTGCCAAGAGACAGCAGCAGCTGACCGCAATGAGGGTGATCCAGAGGAACTGTGCTGCCTATCTTAAACTCAGGAACTGGCAGTGGTGGAGACTCTTCACTAAGGTTAGCCTCACATCCTTTAATACGTTACATTCTTCTTTTCTTCCTTTATTAACTCTGCTTGTTGCCACGGTTCTTGTCCTCAGGTGAAGCCTCTTCTCCAAGTCAGCAGGCAGGAGGAGGAGATGCAGGCCAAGGACGAAGAGCTGCACAAAGTGAAGGAGAAGCACTTGTTTGCTGAGCAGCAGCTTCAAGAGTTTTCAGAAAAACACGATCAGGTAAAATGGAAAAAGACGAGTGCTTTTTAATTTAGTTTTAGGAAGTAAATGCGCACGTTGTTAAAACGCTCTGTTTTCTGTGCTTGTAGTTGAACGCTGAGAAGATGGCACTTCAGGAGCAGCTTCAGGCAGAAACGGAGCTCTGCGCCGAGGCCGAGGAGATGAGAGCACGTCTGGCCGCCAGGAAGCAGGAGCTGGAGGAGATCCTCCACGACCTGGAGGCGCGTGTGGAGGAGGAGGAAGAGCGCGCCTCTCATCTGACGTTGGAGAAGAAAAAGATGCAGCAGAATATCTCTGTAAGCAAAATTTTTATCCTAATAACGTGGTTTCGTTACCGTATCTGTGATCGTCACAGTTTCACGTGAGCAAACATCTGGTCTTTAAATGCGAACAGGATTTGGAGCAGCAGCTGGATGAAGAGGAGGCAGCCAGACAGAAACTCCAGCTGGAGAAGGTCACTTTGGAAGCCAAGATGAAGAAGATCGAAGATGATGTGATGATTTTAGACGACCAGAACAACAAACTACTCAAGGTTAGAATTTAAAATAAATTAAAGCCAACCTTTGTTTTATTTTAATATTTGTACATGTAGGCGCAGAAAACTAAACAAAAACCAGCTGCGTCGTTTCCACCATTAAAACACTTTTATTTCTTGAATCTAGGAGAAGAAGTTGATGGAGGAGAGAATCTCTGAGTTTACCACCAACCTGGCAGAGGAGGAGGAGAAATCCAAGAGTCTGCAGAAACTCAAGACCAAACACGAGGCTATGATCACAGACCTGGAGGGTAGGAACCAAACACCTGCTAACACCTCGGGACCACATTCATAGTTTGTGTCTTCAGGGTTCCTTCAGTCTTATCGTGGAATTTAAGTGGACTCTTTCTCAGCTGTGGATGAATATGAAAGGAGTATGTTTAAAAAGTGTTTCCAGACTTTCATCCATTATCTTTACTCATTTTTTTTTTCCTTTTTGGGTCATGGGGATCACTGGTGCCCATGTCCAGCCATCACTGTGTGAGAGGTGGGGGACACCCTGGACAGGTCTCCAGTCCATCACAGGGACAAACAAGACAACCATTCACTCACTCACACCTAGGGACAATTTAGAGTTGCCAGTCAGCCTAACATGCATGTAACATGCATGTTTTTGGTCTATTTGATCTGGCAACCTTCTCACTGAGAGGCGGCAGCTCCACCAACTGAGCCACCATGCAGCCATTTTTAAAATTAACTCTACAAGTTGCTGCAGTGA